AGTTCCATTACCTACACCCGAGGTTGCAAATCAGATAACAAAAATAGAAGACGGAAATCAACCAAGCAAGTCAAGAAACGCGATTCGAAAGAGAAACTAACCTTTGTGTAAATTCTCTTCCAGGAATGATCCGTCAGCACCTAACGACTCTTTATTTACAAAAAAGTACAAGTTCATCCATCCCCGGTCATTAGCTTTGTCCACCTTATGAATGAGGGCCTCTTTTCCTTCCTTCACTGCTAAAGTAAAGCGACCGGCTCCTGAAGATCTGAGGTCGTAGGTGAAACCCAAGTCTTAAAATCTAGGGCCAAACTATGTTTCTCACTCAAGACCTCTAAAGCTCTGAGTACCCTCCATACTTGGGGCATGATTTGGGAAGGCGATACTCTGACGAAAGCAAGAAAGTCTCGGACTAAACGTGAGAATGGGAATTTCATACCTATCTTGAAAGGGTACATCAAGAAGTTTACCCAACCATCACAGAACCAATCTATCCTCTCGTTCGCTGCTGGAAAACGAATAACCGCGTCGTGGGGAAAGCCGATAGATGACCTGATAAAGTCGACATGATATTCTGAAAGTTTCGCTTGCTTTGAGTTCTTTGGATCTAAAATGTGTTGCGGAATGAAGGGTTGTGAAGCCATGAAGAACCAAGGCGCTGGCTGGGATTTGCAAGAAATCGAAAGGAGCGGAGAGGAAGTTTTTCTTGCTGAACTAATTCATTAAGGGAAGAGGAGATTAGTGATTGATTGATACCGAACGACTGACGGCCTTACACATTCCAAGGCGATGTCATGATGAAAAATTCAAAGAATCGGTTGGCCCTTTAATTTTTCAAGATTGGCGCCCTCCTCTTCTTTGAATTGGGGGCAATTGTTGGGCCGTGGAAATATGAAAAAGATAGATCGGCCCATTCCTAAAAGACGAAGCCCAGTTAAACAAAGAAGCGGACTGAGCGGATAAGGCCAAGCAAACGTGGAAAGATATGTTGTAGAAGAGAACTCCTAACTGCATGCGGGGGAATAGGAGCAAATAACAACCTCCGCATGAGTAGGAAGAGAGGCTCATTCGCTGGACAGTTGGGCTGGAGTCCAAGGGATAAAGCTTTAGAATAAATAGGAGGATCGAGCCTAATCAGATCATTCCTTGGCTATTGTATTCATACACAAATATCTATTGGATTATATAAAATTCTTATCATTCAAATTTCAATCTATTGATCTTTTGCACGAGCCCTCTCTTTGATTATATTGTTTAGAATAGTATAAAAATTGCTTAAACACATGTTCGTTTTGAAAACACAGCCAATCAGCCATGGCTACCGGACAACCCTTTGGAAACTCAAGGTTTGTGGGACTTTCTGCGAATTGGCATGTGAATTGAATAAATTTAGGGTATCTAGGCTTAATTATAGAATATTCACTTTGTGTTTGTCTTGTTTCTTTGTTTTCAAATTCAATATTCTAATTTTAATAGGGAAAAGTTTTTGGTGTCATATGCTTACACTTTGAACTTGTTGTTTACTTCATTTAGCTCGGATCCTCCCTGTACTTTGATTACTATGTGTTTGTTTAAATGACTGCATGAACTTTTTTACATCCTCTATTTCAAAACAAATACTTTTTTTATATTATTTGCTTATTCCCATTACACTTCATATGAGTGCAGGGTGCTTCATTTGTTTTGTAAAAAAAAATCATATATGGTTCATAAATTTGGATTCCATTGTCGATGACAATGGGTTTTATACACACCCGCTATTTCATGTTACTACCCCGTTTAGGTATGCCGACTAAATAACACCCATTGAGGTGTTAATTCCTCCACTTGAGGTCTTAACTCAGTTTGATGATTGATTATGTGGCAATTGTGTAAAAAGAATAATCTTTTTACCCCATAGGCCCATAGAGGTTTAAAAACATTTTAATCTTTGAGCCCAAAATTAACATTGGCTACTTAGTAGGGATGGATTTAAGGGGGGCGCGGGGGCGACCGCCCCCCTTGGACTTTCAAATTTTTCTACAATATATTTAATATTTTCATAAAATTTTTATACTTTAATTAGATATATATGTGTTCGTCCCCCTTAACTTTTAGTTTTCAAAATTAATATATAGTCTTACATTATATAATACTTAATTGGAGATTTGAAAGATGAAACATCTAAAATAATTTACATAACTTAAGCAAATATACAATAGAACAACTCATTGTTCAAGACTTAGGATACCTATTATATAAAAATTCATAGTTTTGAAATGTTTAATTATCTTTAATTTATTAGATAATTATTACTCGATTTGTAAAATATCAAGCAATATTATATACGAGACACAGTAGTTAAACAATTTTTCGATCATGTGAAATGAATCTAAAATTACACAATTCGTTTACTTCTTACTCTTTAAAAATAATTTATTGCATAGATAATAAATTTCAACTTATTTTATCACAACAACAACATCCAAGCCTTAATCCCAAAAGAATTTGGAGTCGGCTATCATGAATCGATCTATGATATTGATGTCAAACAGAGAAGATAGACAAGAAAGGGAAGAAAAAGAAGTAAGATAAGACGAATAAAATAAAGAAAAAAATATAAGATAACAATAACACAAGAATATAAGAAAGGTAAAAGATAAAAAATAAAAGAGCATAAAAAACCTAGAAGATAAAAATAACATAAGAATATAAAAAGATAAAGAAGATAAACGATAAAAGAAAAAAGAGAGGAAAGATAGAAAAGACATCAATATAAGAATCAACGATATAATATTATTCTAAAAATAATAATCTCATACTCCGTACATACTATACTTTTGTGATATTAGCAAAACTTGCAATTCAAAATTTGCAATTCAATAATATTATTCTAAAAATAATAATATCATTCTACGTAGTACGTACATACTATCCTCATGACTCATGAACACCCTTCTTGGTAAACAAAATTTGTAATTCAAAAATCAATTCCTTTTACCGATAAGATTCATGTTGTTAAACATGGCATGAGTTATTTAAAAAGCATTGGTGGTTGTGCACCTTTTAAACTCTTTACCTTCAAATAATTTGATAAAATGTTATATATCCTTTGTTATTTTCAAATAATTTTCCTTTAATTTGCTATTTCTTACGCTTTAATGTATCAATACTTTTTTCTAAAGCACTTACAATTATAAAATCAAAGTTATTTGTTCATTGTCTAAACTTAGAATGTAGAGCTCATTTGGTGACACTAAAATTTGTTGAATTGGCTGATTCTGCTGAAATTTATGAAGTTCTGGCTGAAGTGGTTGTATTGGCTGATTCTGCTGATTCATGAAAAAATTATATTTAAAATATATGTTATTAATAAATTAAATAAAAAATTATATGAAAAATAGCTAAAATGATCCTCTACAGTAACTTCAGCCAATACAGCCAGAAAAGTAACTCTAACCTTACTTTTTCCGCTTATTATAAACTCCAGCGCGCAAAATAAAAAGTTACGTATTTGGTGAAAAAACTGGCTGATAAGCCGAAAAAGGGTCACCAAACGGTCTCGTAATATACTCCCTCCATCCCGTAAACAACTTCAAACTTCGTTTTCACACATATTAATGAAATAAACATGCTGGGGGGTAAATTTTACTGTATGGACACTGTTTCGACATTGTTTGGCACTGTTTGGTACTGTTTGACACTTTTTGAATGTGTAGAGAATTTGCCAAATAAGGAACTGGGAAGAAGTGTGAAGTTAATTTCGGGACTGTCCGAAAAGGAATGCGAGAAGTTGTTTCTGGGATGGATGGAGTATTTAAATATCATCATGTATGTACTTATGAATTCTTTTTTAATAAAAATTAGCCGCAAAGCCTTTCTAAACTAGCGGAAAAAAATTCGCCCCACTACACTAGCAAAAAAAAAATCGCCCGATTACACTAGCGAAAAAAATTTAACCCACTACACTAACGAAAAAAATTTCGCCCCCCTTAACTCCAAATCCCGGATCCGTCCCTACTACTTAGAGTGAAATACATTGGCAAGAAGTAATAACTTTGAGCCCAAAATGTAAAAGTAAAGTTACATGTTAAATATCATTTTATCAGTTATTTTTATCAGTTTATTAGTTATTTTCATATCATTAGTTTATTGTTCAATTTTTTTAAAGTATGTCATTAGTGTCAAACTGTCAATATTTGTAACTTAGTGGCATTGCTCTTCGTCTATCCGTGTAGAAAGCTGTTCTTCCCAGTTCGTTTTCTATGTTGCTTATGATTTTGCTTGGCGTGTTTGCTTTCTTCCTAAAGATTCTAACATCGCGTATCCAGAGTCTCAGAGAGAATGATGATATGAGTGAAAACACAAACATTGGTCCTACAGATTAGGAACGAGTTTTTGCCACTTTTGGTCCCCTGAGTATTGTGTCAGTTACACTTTTGGTACACGACTTTTAGTTTTTCCATTTGTAGTCCTCGAGACCTCGACTATTGTGCGAGAGACACTTTTAGTCTTCTACTTTCAAGTTTCCCACAGTTAGTCCTTTGAGTATTATCAGATTAACACTTTTAGTCCTTCTATTATGATTTTGACACAATAAGTGGAGGACTAAAAATGCCTCTATTGTAATAGTTGAAGGACCAAAAGTGTCACTTTTACAAAAGTCGAAGGACTAAATACGGAAATTTTCAAAGACGGATATCAAAAGTGTCTCTCGCACAATAGTCGAGGACTAAAAATGGAAAACTTAAAAGTCAAGTATCAAAAGTGTCACTGACATAATAGTCGAAGGACTAAAAGTGTCAAATACTCCATTAGGAAACACATGACCTACTTGTGGTAAAAGAATTTCTTTCAGAACATGTGACTTACAACCCTTCTACTTCTCACATTTAATAATCCGTAATTATTTACAAAAATAACATATGTTAGTATTGGGCAAAAGCCTTAGCACCTTGCGTGACCAAACGCTAGAGTAACGCAATAAGCTGCTATAAAAACAACCTAAAAACATCACTCAATGGAGAAGACTAGAAGAGAGTATATTTCCAATAAAAGAAAGGTTACACTACAAAGTACAAACTCAAGCAAGCAAGAGATAAATTAATACAGGTTGCACCATAAGAGTAGGGACATGAACATGAACCATTCCCCACAGAAATACTACTCCCAAACAAAATTAATTTGTATTACCTAACCAAGTTTGTATGTGATGACCTTTAAGAAATCAAGAAAAAGCATTTAATATACGGTACAGAACACCTTCAACAAAAATCTCTCTCAATTCTAATAATTAGAGAGAGTAAATACTCGAACACCAATTTTGGAGGTAGAAAGAATGGTGAAAAGCTTCCAGTTGGGTATTAATAACATTGCAAATTGTTAGTTAAGTCTCTCTAAGAACTTCTCAATCACAACTGAGAATGCAGCAAAGCCGGCACAGCCAACACATGCAGCTTTCGGACCTCCTGCAATTGAGCATTGTTTGGTAGTTAGCAAAACTGGAGATTAGCATGATGCCTCATTTAACTGGGTAAATCAAGTACAAAATGGGTCAAATACTAAAATGTACATTCTACAATACTAAGGCTGGGTTTGGTAGGGTTATTTTGCTTAATCAGAATAGTCAGAATAAGTATCTTTTGACTTCCTTAAAAGCCTAAAATGAAAGTTGCCAAATATTTCTCCTTTCAGAAAAACATAGCAGATTCAGTATTTCAGCGAAGTGATCCCACAAAGCAGGCTCTAAATTTCTGAATGTTCAAAGTGACTTAGTGAGAAGTAACCTCGAGCTGATAATGTGCCTCCAGTAACACATCCAGCAACAGCTGTATTGGTAGTGTCATGTTTCGCCCGAGCCTTAAAAAAAGCACAGAAATCAAACTCATAATATATTCAATAGGAAAAAAACTACTACCATGTTTTATAGTTAAGTTGGCATGAAGACATTAAAGATAGAGAATTACAATAAATTGGCATGCAGATATAACTAGCTTGTGCCCAAAGCCCCAAACTTATTTTCAAGACTGAACCATACTAGTCAGTAACTAATGTACCATAGAATTGGTCAAACTCAAGACATATACTCCCATTTGTATCTTCAGAGAAGGACTAAAGATTGGATCCAGAAACTTGAGAAGAACAATTCAATTTACATTTTCATCTTTTTCTTTTTTAAATCAATGAGACACGATTCACCTTCTCGATAGCACATTCGGCAGCGGAGAAAATGAAACCCATAACAGCAAAAGTCTTGCAGGAACTCCAACTCCTTCGACCCATCTGCTTTGCTTGGTACACAATTTTTTGCTTACTACTCATTTCCTCATCCAATATATGAGTGTCCAGAGAGCCCAAAAACAGACCCATTCCTAGTCCTAGCCCCCCTCCTACACATACATATATATTCAGACTCGCTATTGTCACAAATTTCAATCATAACCGATAATTCAATTTTGAAAAAACAAAAGCAAAGGCTACATAAGATGATTATAGAGAGTTCCTAATTTCTTACCCATAATGCCACTGGCGACGCTGCGAACTGCGCAGTTATTCCATATGTCTTGGCCTCGAATTTCCTCTACCGATGGAAGCTGAATTGGTTTGATCGGCGGCTTCTTCTCGGCTTCTTGTGGTCCCGGCGGCGCGTTTTCTGGTTCCTTATCCGGGCCGGAACTCATGGCGGCTCCGACAGAAACCGGGTTAGAATGTGTTGTTTTTGGACAGTCAGGTTCGGCCGGGAAAAAAAACTGTAGACAGAAGGGGAAAACCTAGAAGCAGAACATCGAGTGTGCTTCACGCTCTGCCCAATAAATTGACTGCGACTACCGGATAATTTCATAGACTTTATAAAACACCGTGTACTTTTAAATCTGGACCGTCACCGTGGGTTCGTTGAAATTTTCACCTAGATCGTCGGCTCGTCGCTACCAATCTCCCTCTGCGTCTTCATCATTGAAGTTCGCCGTCGTCGTCATCGGACTGATCCACCATCAATAAAATGACTTTAGTTATGCAAGCGAATAAATGACAATTAATTATTAATTATATCAATTAATTAAATTAGAGGTAGAAATATAATATGTAGTCCTATTTAAGGAAAATCAAACATATGATCATACTTTGAGAAAAATGTCACTCTCTCGATCCCAATTTGATGGTCTGGGATTGTGGTTTACGAGATTTTACTGATGATAAAGAAAACAGATCCTTGTCCACACTCAAATTATTTTTAAAAAATAAAATTTACATATTTAGAAACTACATTCAAAGCTTTACAAAGTCGCGAAAAAACAAAATCAAATTTGATAAAAAAACACATTCATCAAATTGGGACGAAGGTAGTATGTTTTAGTCCTACCGTGAGTAATTTCCAAACAATTAAATCAATAAATGAAACAATTGTAATTCATCTAGCAACGCAAAGTTCTACAAGAATAAACAAAGAACTGGACCGATTGATGTGAGATTAGCGGTTCTTCAAATGGTTCCCATTTTTCTTTCTAGAACTGAACTGATCTCTGCATTTTTCTTCATAAGATGACATATAAAATATCACTTTTTTTTATTTATCTTGTGTATTAGTATCAACGTAGAATCTCATTGTTCTACTTTATACATCGTAAAATGATAAAAAAAACAAAATTTAATGTTCAGTCTTGAATATTGAGACCATCCTGGTACCCACCTTTTGACCCGGTCGCTACTAGTACAGGACTTGTTGGCCGGATTGTGATCCCAGGTAAATAATTAGTCAAATCTGCAATCAGATCTATGCGTACTTGTGACGAGTAGAAAACAACAGAAAAGTTAACGGACATCTTTGGTGAGTAGAAGAGACAATTACAAAGAATTAATGAATTAAGAATGAGTTAAAAGTCCATGAGATCCATGATTTTAGAAGTCAATAAGAATAAATAAAAGTTTGAATACACCTAAACTTTTATAGAATTTTAAAAGTCTACATTGAATACATTTAAGACTATGTTTGGCACGACACTTCAGCCCATAATGAGCTGAATTTTTTTATATTCTGTCATTAATTTAAAAAGAAGGCCTGTTTGGACACAAGACTACATGGAGCTGAAGTAGAAAAAGGGTCTGAATTAAAACGTTAGCCAAGCTAGCGTTTCATTCCAGTCAGCTGACAATGAGTCTTCGGTTCCTAAATTGTCCTTGTTTCTTCTCTGGTATCCTTACTGCACGTGTTACGTGAATAATGTGATCCATGCACCTCCACTTCAGATTTCTTATCTTATCTTGTTAATTTTCCTCACTACCCTCTTCTCTATTACGTCAATTTTCCCAATCTTCTCTCTAGGTTCTATGATACTCCCTCTGTCCCATAAAATAAGTCCCATTTTCTTTTTTGGGCCGTCCCAAAAAATTGTTCTCATTTCCCTTTTTGGAAAGTTTTGTGTGACTAACATTCATTTACCTTTTTCTTACTCAACCACAATCATACATTTCCACTTTATTCCCACTTTCTTAAACTCCGATCCAAATTGAAATGAGACTTATTTTATGGGATGGAGGGAGTAATATATATAATGCTTAAAAGGGAAAAGATTAGTGGGAGATAATATGTGGCTAAAAGTACTCCGTATAAACTTGCATAAAATTACACGAAGTGGTTCATAAATCAAAGTAGGAATATTATTATATACTACGTATAATAATTTTTCTTCATTTCGTGTTTTGCATTGAGAAAATTAACGCGGGTACGACCAAATCAATACTGTTACAAAATTAAGACTGTCTATTATTTCTTCCATCCATGTGACACATGTACTCCTATTTTAAGAAACTCAATTATTAGTTTCCAAATTTGCCCTTTCGGCTTGAATAAATTGAGTTTGAAATTCCTCAGTTCAGGGGACGTACGTACCCAACTGGAGACGATTTCCCTCTACATCAGGGGACGTACGTCCCCAACGTAAGGGTATTGTGGTCAATGCAGGTTTAGTTGAGTCTTACGCTAATTTTCGATCTTAGTTTTGGAAAATGAGTACGATTTGCTCCTATTTGTAAAATTTTCCCTTGTACATTTCGGATGCTATCACTTTAAGTGGAGAAAAAAAATACTTCGTATATTATACATACCATAATCTTAACATTTACTACGTATTAAAATATTAAAATCATTATAATAATTTTTGAAATAGTATATTTTATGTCCTTTAATGTAATTTTTTATTTTTCAGTCACCATATCGGCTCTTTTTGCCAAACTGGTATATCCTATTCAGCTAGCAGTTCAGATTCAGCACTTAATAATTCAGTTTCAGACAATAGTCTTTAATTCAGACAACAACTGTAAATTCAGACATTAGTCTTCAGATTCAGCTCGTTGTGCCAAACATAGCCTTAGACTTTTATGGACATGTTGGGATATTGGGCCGAAAGCCCAATATACTAGGCCCATTAGTCAGCAAGGATCCAAAGAAGAATAGGCCCAGTAACTAGGTATACCGAACGAGATCCAGGGAACCATGAGGGATTATACCCCGAACGGGGATCGGGTCATGCAGGTAACTTGGGCCAGATTAATAATGATAGCAGCATGGGCATCGTTCTGAAGCCCGAACGGGTAGCCTGCAAGTGGCAAAGGGCATTTAATGCTAGGGTATGGCGTCAGCAAGTGGGAGTATGGCGTCACCAAGTGGCTCGAGAACGGCAGCATGTCAGATTCAGCCACGTCATCACTCCCATCTCCTTTTATTAGTATAAATAGGGGCTTTAATCTCATTGTAAAGGGTTAGCATTTTGAGACTCAAGGCCTAGAACAGCTTTATCATTCTTGTTATTGTATTATCACTATTCCGACGTACTGTTCGGGAAGTTTCATGTGTAATCAGTGAATTGCTTAATACAAGTGAGCTTTTGAGCATATTATTATTCAGCTTTTATATTTTCTTAGATCTTTGACTTATTTTCCATATCCTTAATATCCAAAGCATGTGTTGGGCTTTCGGATCTGCGGGACTTAACCTCAACATTAGCGCGGTCTGTGGGAAACTTGAACAAAAAGTTTTTAAACCAACTATTTTACCCAAATATCAACCTACTATGAGGATGGTTAGAATCACATCTCATCATACCAATGAAGGTTTGGAGCGACGCGGAGGCAGCAGGACTCCGGGGAACTGGACCCCTCGAGGGCAATCCAGCCGAGGGTCTTACCAACATTTTGATGGAGACTTCTTCATGCCCAGAGCACTGAGGGGAACCCCCATGCCATGCGGGATCTAGCCCAAGTAATGCAGCACATGGCAGATGAGCAAGACGGGGGGCGATCCAGCTACACAGGGGAAACCGAGTACACGACCCCGTCCCCACTCCGATCGATGCAATCACTCGATGAGGAGACCACCGATACAGAGACAACCACGGCTTCGACCCATTCACGGGCCCATCGGGGAGATCACCGAAGGACCCACACGTCTAGGGGCGGGCAACACACTCCCGGTGACCACACCCCGACCGGGTCCCGAGCCAGAGGAACTACTCCATTCGGGCGCCATTTCTAGCATGAAGAACGTGATAACACCATATTCAGACAGGGACGTCGAAATCAGGGAACACCCCCACTGGAAGGAAATTGAGAGTTTGTTACTCTGGGAACTCCACCACCACCTCCCCTAACGGCCCAGGAGGAAGAAATGGCTGAAATGAGGAGGCAGATGAATGAGATGAGGGATGAGATGAACAGGGCACCCCTACAACCTACTCTGGTGCGGGCCGGGATCACTTCCCCTTTCACCTGGGAAATAATGAATGCGGAGATCCAAAGGGATGCCAAACCACCAACCGGTCAGATATATGACAGGGCAGGAGATCCCCATGTACATTTGAGAAGTTACCAAGGAGGGATCATGCTGTTGGGAGCAACAGAGGTAGCCCGAATCGATCGACAGCTTTGCTGAATTATCGTCCTTATTTTTAGCACAGTTTGCTTCTAGTGCCACCCCAAAACGGCACTTCAGTTACCTAACCAGTGTTAAGCAGGGACCAAAGGAACCTGACCGGGCCAAACTTGCAAGTGTACAAGTGCCGATATAGTAATAAATTCCGGTAAAATACCGGGTCGAATCCACAAGGAAACGTTGTTTAATTCAAGTCCGAGAGTAGATACCTTTAAATGAAGAAATGAATAAAGTGCAGGGATTTTGATTTGTGTTTTATATTTTTGGTTTTTCACTTTTTGTTCAAAAAGATAATTGTTAACCAATTTCAAGTTTAAGATGAATAATAACAACAACTAAGGCTTCGGGAATCACTTAAATGTTTTAATAGGGTTGAATATTAGTTTTTTGCCAATTATTATGAATACGATGTCGCTAATATATTCTCAACTCCGGTTAAGGCAGAGAGAGCGTGATTTTCGTTACGTGTAAGTCCAGTTACGGCTTACATTCATCTACCGAAAACCCCGTTGAATATCAAGACATCACACCCGTATCATATAAGACCAGATATATTTCTATTCTCGGTACTATACATGTTTATCCTCTAATGTTCATAGTTTAGACTTCAACGTTAATTGCAAGTATAAACTAGATTTAACATACTTCTATGTTGTACACCATAGTCATAAACAATCAATATATAAAGGATAAATCACAATTTATTGGTTTAGAACTTTTATCAAACACCTAGTGGGCATAGAAGTTCATCCCTAGCCTTAGCTAAGAAATTAGCTACTAATGCTCATATTAATTACAAAAGTGTAACTAAGAACAAGGAAATAAAATAACATACAAGAAAAATTACCTAGAACCAATTGTAGAGGAGAGAAATAGCTTCTTCTCCAAACGAACTTGAAGA